AAAAAAAAAAAAAAAAAAAGACACACATAAATCAATGGAGCAGACAGAAAGCTGAGAAACAAACCCATGAATATATGTTCAATTCATCTTCAACAAAAGAGTTAAGATAATGTGATGGGAAACAGTCTCTTCAACAAATGGTATGGGGAAAACTGGACAGCTACATGGAAAAGAATGAAACTGGGCCATTTTCTTATACCATACACAAAAATAAATTCAAAATGGGTTAAAGACCTAAATGTGAGACAGGAAATTATCAAAATCCTAGAAGAGAGCACAGGCAGCAATTTCTTTGACATTGGCCACAGCAACGTTTTTCTAAATAGGTCTCTTTAGACAAGGGAAACAAAAGCAAAATTAACTATTGGAACTACATCAAAATAAAAAGCCTCTGCACAGCGAAGGAAACAATCAACAAAACCAAAAAGGCAATCTTTGGAATGGGAGAAGATATTTGCAAATGGCATATCTGATAAAGGGTTAATATCCAAAATCTATAAAGAACTTATACAACTCAAAATCTAAACACACACACACACACACACACACACACACACACACACACACACACACAAATAATCCAACTAAAAAATGGGCAGAAGACTTGAACAGACACTTCTCCAAAGAAGACATACAGATCACCAACAGACACATGAAAAGATGCTCAACATCACTCATCATCAGGGAAATACAAATCAAAACTACCATCAACTATCACCTCACACCTGTCAGAATGACTAAAATCAAAAACACAAGAAAGAAGTGTTGGTGAGGATGTAGAAAAAGGAACCCCCTTGCACTGTTGGTAGGAATGCAACAATGCAGCCAGTATGGAAAACAGTATGGAGTTTCCTCAAAAAAAATCAAAAACAGAATTACTCGATAATCCAGCAATTGCACTACTGGGGATTTCCCCTAGGAATATGAAAATACTAATCCATTGCACCCCATTGTTTATTGCAGCACTATTTACAATAGCCAAATTATGGAGGCAGCCCAAGAGTCCATTGATACATGAATGGATAAAGATGTGGTATACACATACAATGGAATATTACTCAGCCATAAAAAAGAATGAAATCTTGCCATTTGCAACAACATGAATGGAGACAGAAAGTATATACTGCTAAAACAACATAAGTCAGTCAGAGAAAGACAAATATCATGATTTCACTTATATGTGGAATTTAAGAAACAAAGAGAAACCAAGAAGCAGACTCTTAACTATAGAGAATAAGTTGATGGTTACCAGAAGAGAGGAGGGAAGGGGGATGAATGGAATAGGTAAAGGGGATTAAAGAGTACACTTATCATGATGAGCACTGGGTGATGAACAGAATTGTAGAAGCACTATATTGTACACCCGAAACTAATATAACACTTTATGTTAACTACACTGTAATCAAAATTAGAAACTTAAAAAAAAGAGTCTGTTTATCTTATTTATCCCATTATCCTTAAAACTTAATCCTGATATCTGTTAGTATTCAGCAGAATTAGTGGTCTACAGTCACAATTTGAGAATGGCTAAATTATGCTAATAAATTTTAAAATTCACAAAAAAGAGGTGGTTTTCCTCTTCTGTTCATATGATGACAAAAATTATATTTCCCTTTTCACTGGCTGCTCAGAAGCTCAGAATTAAACATAATGTTGAAATAGAATAAGTATTCAATCCCAGGGTGCTGGCATATTTTTTTTCCTGTCATAATTATTTTCTATTCATCCATACTTTAACACATATATATGAGATATATAGATATATATATAGATATCTTACTACCAGACCTTTCTACTTCAAGTAGAATATTAAAAGAAAATACCGTCTATGTACACTTATTGTAAATAGATTTAAAAGATCAAGGAAAAAAGGCTTTAGAAGATAGAATTCAATATAAAGGATTGCTCATGGGAAACAAGCTTGTATCTGCAGAGAGATACCAGAGAAATTATTTAGCAGTTGGTATTCAGGGATTCTTCTGCACATATAAATTTTCAGGCTTTGGAACAAAAGTTTCTGGGGTATGATTTTTTTGGTTTGAATTCCAGTCATTCCAAATCATGTGTTCTTTTGTTATATGATATCTATGAAAAATAAGGAGCTTGTTC